AATAATTCTACCTGTATTATACGATTTCTTACTGCTCAAAAAATATCATCAGCTTCGTAGCAGAAAATTTTTCAACTCCTACTCTTTTTTAACCAAAAAATCGTCGAGTGCAAAGGGTTAATAAATCAAAAGAGGCTTTTGATTCTGATTATATTTTACATTTCTTGGTGGTATAAAGTAAACGAAGGCTCGAAGTCTTGTACGTTGCGCGATGCAGACGGTGGACTGTCAAAAAGCGTGTCCCATCGAACCTTTCAGCTAGGCTTTCATAGTCTCTGTGACAACCCATTGCTTCACGCAACCCTGCTTCGAGAATTGATAAACTGGATGATTTCTCGAAGCAAAGATAAATCTCGATGCAGAGTGATGCTATCGAAATAAGGATTCCTCTCGCAAACATTCTTTGCAATCAACCCTCTTGCACGCGGTCGCTTTCGTTCCAAGTCCAAACACTCTTGACATTCTTTCAGGGCCTCTGTACTCGTTGCATTCCTAGATATATCATTGCATAAGCGACGTTGGTTTCCGTTCGAGGTACGATCGGGAGAAGGTATAGACGTATCGGCTGGACCGGCGGGCGGTGGTAATCTCGAAATGGTCCTCTATGAAATTCAACCTGCGCTCCCTCGTTTCTTTCGGCCGTTCCGGAGAGGTCGCGGCTTTGAAAATCACGCGGGATAGAACCGGCCGGGTGGGTGGTTGGTTGCTGTATCGGGACTGCGGAGAATGGAGAAATTGCCTCGACGAAAAAGCAGCGATTTATCTATCGGCGAACGGTTGCACGGTTACTCTCTCTTTTTCTATTCCGTACGCTCGGATGCGGTTTTTGTCCCGGGCTAGACGCGAGGCAACATAATCCGCTCGATCGTGGATAGCGGCGGAAAGAAACGAAAAGAATCTTAATGCCAACGCCGCCACCGCCGACGCCGCCGACGCCGTGACGCGCTGTGCCGCATCCTGCCACCCCTCCGCGTCGCGCCGTCGCGTTTCCGTCGACGCGCCGTAATTTCGTTTACTTTCAATCTTGCCCATTACCGGCATAAAAGAAGAAATAACGAGCACGAATAATGCCGATCCGAGAAGGAACGATTCTGCACTCGAATGAGGGACTTTCAGCGAGCTAGGAGGTCTGCTCCGTAATCCCTGCGATTCCTCCTAAGAGACGTTACAATGGGAGCTGCAGTATAACGGTATAATGAGTCGGTACAAGATGGAAGGATAGACCATTCGTCGATATTTAATATCGCGCTCGACTATTTCTCTCTTACCCGAACCAAGTAGCTGTTCTTGGTGACTCGCCTACCTCGTTGTAGCCACCTCGAAAGATCCAGAGCGATCGATGACCTGTCACGAATCGCGCAGGGATTCCACGACGCGTACCCCCATGAAAGAAAAAAGACGATCGGGTATACGCGTGTGCGAGAGGAATCTTTATTTGTACAGCGTCACCCTGTATCACGATCTATCTTTGATAAGCTGAATGGTTCCTCGAAGCTAGATTGAATGACGCAATGAGTTGGTGTCATAAATGGAAAACTCGAGTCTTCGCTTTCGTCATTCCGAAATTAAGAATAAGATCAAGAGTAAAAATTTGTATTCAGATTTATTAACCCGATCTTATCACACATGCCACAATCGAGTTTCTAGAATGATCGGAACCATCGAGGGCGTTCCTTGACGCGTGCCCCCTGTGAAGACAAAAGACGATCGGGCGTTCGGATATAAAATTGGACCTAAACCGATCGACAGGGCATCCCTCTAAACTCGTGAATCTTGGTAGCATCGTCGGAGCGAGAACACCGTGGACCGACGAATGCCTCTGTTGCGGCTGTCGGCGCGAAACTCGTTGCAGGCCGTAGACTCGGCTATTTACGATAGTTCGAGAAGCCATGGACGAGAGTTTCACGCGCCATCGCGGCGCGCCAAAGGACACTCGTCGCTCGGCGCTTCGCATAGTTCTCGTCGGAGACGGAAGCAGCGAACTCCGGCGGAGAACGCAGTCGGCGAGTTGATAAATGCCAGATAAATCTACACGCCAGGGGCCCGGAGTGCCACGGAAATCATCGGGTGGCGGTAAACGAGTTTCTGATGACGCCCTTTCGAGGCGGCGCGACTCGCAATCGCGAAATTGGCGGGTAAGAGGGCCTGCTTGCACGAGCAGGCCGTATCGCGGGTTTGTCTGGTCCCTTTTCCGATACGCAGCCACGGCAATCTATCAGGCTGGCGTAAACACACCCTCGCGATAGCAGCCATCCACCGCGTCCCCATCTGAAATAAGATCTTTTTCAAAGCGGCCGAACGCGTCACCGCGGCAGTCGCGCAGTGGCTGATGCATCCCGGGGGTAGAAAAGTGCCACCCGGGAGCGTAGAAATCCGATCGGTGCCGAAAAATTGATAAACCGCGGTGAAACGCGTTTGAGCAACGCGGAAGATTACAACTCGGGATCGAATGGCATAATTTCCCGACTCGCGTGAACGATGGAGAGTGGCCAGGCGCGAAACAAACCGTCAGCCTCTGACGCAGAGTCACGGAACGGCAAACGGGGATCGCTGAATTACGATGAGTTTCCGTTTCGTCCGTTTTTGTCGACACGGTCATCATCGTTGGCACGCCGGGAAGAGAGACACGGGAATTTGATATAACGAGATTTCCTTGGACGCTGTAACGCTCGCGCGCTTTGACCCCCTAATTAGCTACGAGATATTTGGAAGGATTCCAATTGAAATTCGCCTGACCCAGTCCCTCTTGCTCGTTTCGCTCTGTTTTCCTCGCTAACTAACAAAAGGGATCAACGGAAGGCACCGACGAGAGTGTGCTCGAGGCTTCCTGCGCCGGGTCAGGCTCACGCCTGGATCCACTCCTATTGCGACATCTAGCATTACTAATACCGCGTGAACGCGTCCTAAGGTTCACGGACGCCACAGGTGTGACTTATTCGGTGTACACCGATGTACGGAACGTGGACCTGATATTCCAGCGAAATGAGGCAATCAATGTACACAGACGCATTCGGGACTGGCCGTAGAACGCTGCAACACCTGCGAATAACGTCGCTACTTCGAGCGTGTCTCAAGATGCGCATCGGTCATGCGACCCTACATTAACCCTACCTTCGCTGTAAATTACGAACACGCATTATGCAATCCGGAAAAATTCGTTTCGATAGCCCGTGGTTCGCTAACGACCGGCTAAAAATAGTCGAGACCGATGACAGCGCCAATCGAGTCAAGATGGCCGCTGATAGGCGGCTCGGAGAGGGACTCGCGGAGGATCGAGACGAAGAGAAAGGTAGAATCGAGCGATTGTCGAGAGTAATTAATACGCACGGGGGCCGGAGACGGTGCATTCCGAGACACGGGTTGGAAACTCCGCGAGCGTGAATGGCGGCGGTGGGCGCCCAGCGACGAACGACACTGCGAGGCGTCACGCGAGGCGGACGAAATGTAACCAGCAGTTTCGCGACGAACCTCTTCGCCCTGACAGTTTGAAAGCGCGGTATCGCCCAAGGGGACTTGCCAAGTTCCACCGGCAACTTTGTTCTTCGCGAACCTTACCGGAAACATCCGCCGGAATTTCGCACCCGGGTAATGCGTCCGGGACGGATGGCAGCGGCGCGAGTGGATGCAATTCGAACGATAATAATTCCTCCTGCATTATACATTTCGTTCGCGCGCTCTAGACGCGCGAAATCGGATTTGCGACCCGGCAAGCAGCCGTGTGAAACGACTCCTTCGGAACCGAGCGACACCTACCGGAACTGTCAATTTTTTCTCCGGGCACGATCGAAATTGCTCGCTATTCGCAGCCCGTTAGCCAGGTCGCTGGCTACGACGCTGATCGCGGCGTACACGGAAGCGAGGAATTTTCGAGATGGTTTTACAACGGAGCGTTTCATCGCGGAATCGTTTAAAGTCGAATGTTGACAGATCCAACGACTCGACTCGGGTAGCGCGCGTCGGTTATCATCAGCCCTAGCTTTGATCCGTTTCCGCAGCTTTCAGGCTTAACGCGTTACGTTCAGCGCTGGTCGCGTCAAAGACGGCCGGAATTATTCAAAGATGAACGCGGCGGCTACGCCAGGAGACATCTCGTACAATTTTAAACGAGTCCGAGCAGGACGTCCTTTGAGCGGAGCTGTTGCCAGGAGTCTAGCGGTTCCCGTTGTTCCTCTATGCATCGCGTTTCCTCCGTTATCGAAATCTTGCTCTCGTTAAGGCCCGAAACGTTCCCTTCGCCCGCGTTTTAATTATCCAAGCGAAACGGAAGGGCGTCGGAAATGGCGTCGAAGCGGAGACTCCTCGCCGGGTCATTAAGAACGCGTAACGTTCCCGCGCATTCTCGCGAGCTGGCTGTGCGCGTTAACGCGTTGTTTTTCGCGGGTTTATCGATCATCCGTGCAGCAGGGAGCAACGGGTTCTGGAGTCGGTGAAAGCCAGCGCAGATAGGGGGTTCCTTAGAGCGCGGCGCTCGCGCGCCATCGTTTGCCGCTCCTCTAAGCACGTAGGATTTACCGGGCGGAGCTTGCAATTACTAATTCTGTTCGCCTCGTGTCGGGCCGGCTTTCGCGTCGAGGCGAAACAACGTCTCGACGCTCGGCTCTGTTCGCGGCAGATATGACCGCGCGCGCCCCAGTTTCTCGCCCGCTAACGAAGCGACTGCGAAAAAAACACAGGCGAGGAACAAAAAGGAATCGTTTCCGACACGAGGCTCCGCTAACGAATCGTCGAACGCGACGCGCCGCGACGGACCGAGTTCCGAACCAAACGCTCGCAATGGCCTCGCGGAATAATGCCGCGAAAATGAGACGGAATAAAAAATCTTATTTCACCAACGACCGCGTCTCCAACTTTCCCATGACCGACCTCTCCGTTTTCCTTCTCCTTTTCCTTTTTCTCGCGCTCGTAAAACGCGCTGGCAAGTTTTTACGCGTGACCGAGAGAGGTCCGACGCGTTTTAAAAATTTCCAAATCGCCCACGCTGGTTCCCTCCTACGCGCTGTGCCCCGTTTACGATCGACCAAACAAGCTACCGCGAAAAATCTCTCCGCCTTTTCGATCCGAGCGATCCAGAAGAAATCTTCGAAACTTTTAATTCGCTCTCTCAGAATCGGAGGTTTGATCGACGGACGGGAATCCATAAGCGGAGGAGTCGTCTCGTGACCCAGAGCGTAGTTTCCTCGCGAAATTACGCCGAAAGTGGCAACGTCGTCGCAGCTTTTAACTGACAATAGAGGGCGTGCAACGAGGATGCGCGATGGTCGCGCGGCACCGGAGAAGAACGCGTCATCGTGGATCCTTCCATCGGAGGAAGCACGGTCGGGATAGGTGGTGGGCGACGTCAAATTGGACGAGGGGATGCCGAAGAGGACGGTTCGTCTCGAGGAGCGTGGAGGAGCGCGCTTTCACTGAGCCCGGACCCCCGCGCGGATAACGCTTTTCCGCCGATGAGCTTCTCGTTTCGTTATCCATCTCCGCTCCGCGTTCAGCCGACGCACACACGCGCTGAGCGCGCGCGGATCCCCGGTGTACGTGCAAGAGAAGTTAAACGCGTGCAAACGGGCGCAAAATCGATTCGCATAATACGGTCACGTGGTGAGCGATTTTCAGCCGGCCTGATTACGGTTATTCAACCACGTGACAGATTTCAAATTTACTCGGCTGCGACGGTGGCGCCGCCGCCGCCCGCTTGACGTAGTCACGTATAATCAGGTGGCCTGGAATTTATTATGGTACGTGCGTTACATGCCTGCTGCGCCATTACGAGGCGAGCGATAGTCGTCGCGTCGAGCCGCGTCGCGACGCTACGAGCTTCGATTTATCGCCGATACATGGACACCCTTCCGGCAATCTACCCGCCGAGCGTACTCTCTCCCATCCATACTTTCCGCCCGCCCTGCGACGCCCCAAGCCTCCCGCTTCTTGGTTACACGCGAAATTCGATTATCGGGAATACGGAATGCCTTTCGGCCCGTCTATTGTCGCGTTAGCCGGTGTAACGCGACCCAGGCCAGACCCCCTTTATCCGAATTCGATTACCGCCCGTTTTGAATATATTTTTCCCCGCGATATCGCCATCGGCTTCGGGTTCCCGCTCTGGGGTGTTCGGATGTTTTATACGCCCTCGACTGGGCAGATAACCACGCGATTCCTTCGCGAATCTACGTACGTACATTCGACATACCTGCGAGGGCTGTCGTCCGCCAAAGCGAGAGCCAAATTTCAGCGTTTCGAGCGCGGGCGAGCGTGCGATAATCAGCGAACCGGCAATCGGGTCGAGATTCGAATCCCGCCCATCGAAACGCGCCATGTTTGTCGAATTAGGGGATTTCGAACGAAGTTATAATCGATCGGGAACGCGAACTATCCCACGGGTCGTTTGCGAGACGCCACCCCCGGCCTCGCACCCCCGAGCCGACAGACTCGTCCCGCCTGGCGGAAGAGTTAGCGGCGAAAGTCCTCTCCGAGCTCGTCTAGACGGTGCGGTGCTTCGATGCCGCTCGTCGAATTCGTCGCGACTAATTATCGCGGCGAATCCGCCGAGCGACGCCCGCTGATTGCGAGGTAATCGCGGCTGAAATGGAGGGGGCGCACGCGAGGGATCGCGATTGGGGCGGAGGGCGTAAAAAATTCACGCGCGTTTCAGTCCGAAGATGGATTCCGCGTGGAGGTATCGATCGGCCGGGGGTGGAGGAGGGCGTCGCGACGGCGTTCGTCGGGATAAAAGCGATCGGAGCGGAATCAAAGCCGAGTAACCGCAAATTACAGGTGGCAAGTAAAGAACGACCGCGAGCCGGTCGACGACGTGAAAAGCGCGGGATAGCGATGTCGCGAGTCGGTGGAACGGATCTGGAGAAAAAGCAGAGGCCAAGGGAGCAGAGGAACCGAGAGAGAACGAGCCGACGCCCTTACACGCTCCATCAATCTTCGCTTCTCGCGAGAGGACTAACGACGTCGCGGCGGCGGGATAAGCGGACTTAGCTGGCCGGGTAATCTCGGTATACCAGTCGGCACGGTTATTGTCGGGAAAACGACGGAAAGAAAGCCATCTGCCGGGACACTAAGGCTGGACGGTGATCGATCTCTCCTTTCCCGACCCTCTTCCAACAATTTCCACGTCTTTATCGTTAATTAACGGAGAATTACGCGTTCCAGAGACGCTCCGCGCCGAGAGTGCCTGGCAAACGCGAGAATATGCTCCGGGCATCTAAACGCGTGTCCGGAGATAACTCCTCGTGTTCTTCAAGAATCTCTCGCGTGCACTCTAAACGCGCTCCAGCGTCGGATGCGTATATTTTTCTCGCGGGAGTGTCGACGAACTTGCACAGTTTCAATCGGAACCCGTGATTTCGCTCATTGACACGCTAATGCCCGTCACCGATGAGGGGATGACGGTTTAATAAATACACTCGGTTAAGTTCCTCGGTTTAGTAGTATACTGGAAGACGTCTCCAACGAAACGAACTCGCAAATCCTGTCAGAAGCTTCTAACGAAGATCCTGAGTGTGCGAGCAAACAATAGACTCTTTGTTTATTTTGATATCGCGTGACTCGTGGCAGATTTGCGGATTTCGGAATCTAACCTAACCCCTTGATATACGATTTAATTACGAAAAATTACGCGTCGAGGTAATTAAATAGCGCACCTATCCCATCCACGATGAAATTAGACAAAAATCTGAGAAAGTCTCCTTATTTTATGCACTTCGAAACGTGCATGACAGCGTGAGATCTCGCGCGAAGAGCTTCAACGCGAGGAGAAAATCTACAAAGATACGCCTAATCTCTGGTAAAGCGGGATTCCCTTCGTCCTTTACCTCTGTCGCAATACCAGGAAGAGACAAAGAGGCTGACGACTGGTTGCCGCGAATGGCGATTCGGCTTGGCCAGCGGCGCGTTTTGCCCTCATCCCGGAAGTCTCGGCGTAATGCTGGATATAAACTGGACGGGTCGAAAATATGGCGTCGCGGGAGAGAAAGCGAGCCCATGGACAACACGCGGATCAGTGAAATGGCGAGCATTGCTATTCCAACGACGTCCTCGGCCACCCTTCTTTCGCCCGCGCGCCACCCTGCACGTACGCGGCAAGGGCGTCGGCTAACTGGATCAGCCCTGGACGCTTCCACTTTGCAACATCTGTAAATGAGAAGTTGTCGTTGACGTTTGCTCGAACGAAGCCCGGGTAACGCGCGCTGCAATCTCCGCCCGCTTCGTTACACGCCCCGTGCCGTGCACGTGCAATCCGATTTAAATTCCCGCGTTACTCGCTGAATCGTCCGCTCTTATGGTGCTCGTGATACCCGACGCCTCGTATTTTTCCCCGCCTTATGCAAGTATCGCGTATTCCGTTGTCCGTGAGCAAGAAAAACGGGAGAGAAATTGAAGACGAATTGAAGAGGAATTGAAGACGAGAAGAACGCGAGAGAAACGGCGTGTCTTGAATAATTACCCGACGCCGAGTCACTCGCCCGACACTGCAGGGACCCTGAGCGTCCCGATGGGCCCCTGCGAACCGTGCATGCCGAATCAGGGGGTCGAAAAAGGGCGAGGAACAGGGCTCGGTGAAAGCTCGCCGTTTAGGGAGGGTGGTTCAATGCAGTCGCGGAAAAAGTATGAAAAATGTGACGGGAAAGATAAGGAATAACGGAGTAGCGGGCGATAATAGGCGAAAAGGGTGAAAAAGCGGGAGCGAATCGGGCAATAAGAGGTCGCGGGCTCCCTTCTGGCCTATGGAACGATATTTAATTAAACGGCCGCGAGGGCGCGCGCGATTAAGATTCTCCGTTATCGCCACGGCCGCTGTTAATTACGTGAATTGCGAGACGTGGACGAACAGAAATTTTTCGGATCTCCATTTTACAGTCCGAAAACCCTCTCGTTCCTAACCTCCAATATATCCGGCATCCACGTAATAACCCCCACATTGCTATTTTAACGCTATTTTCAATTGTTAATCGGACTCTTTATACCAATTAAATAATATTGCAACGACCATCACTCTCACCCTCGCCGGTAGATGGATTCCTTCTTGAAGGAAGTTCGAGGACTTTCTCGCAAGTCCTTGCTGAATCTTCGACCTTCCTTAAATAGAAGTCCCTATGCCACCTAAGTAACCACGTTTAAGGCGGGGCCTGCTAGGTAGCCTTACCGACGGGCCCACTAGCAGGCCCCGGATGATACGCTCATCCCCTCCACTTCGTTTCGTCCTACCTAGCACAACGACCAAGGAGAATACCCACGATATCGTTAAATATATCGTTTATGTGGAAATTACGAGTGTATTGTTTTAAAGAAAAGTCCCTTTTCTTCCAAGATAAACCAGGGCCCAGTTCAATGGCGGCACCACGACGAATTAAAGGTATCTAAAACGAGAAACGTTCGCGTAACAATGAGTAGCCATGATTTGAGAAATGGCGGATTTCTCAAAATGGCGGACGCTTGATACGAAAAGCGAAATAACAAAAATAACCCCGATAGGGTTATAATTGCAGCGAAATAATAATAAGTTGTATTCGAAAGAGAAAAAGGGAAAAAGTTTTTGGAAAACAGAACGGACCGCTGGCGGGTGGTTTCGTCGGCCCGGGAAGAAACTCTCGCGGGTATTCCCGACGGTTTACGCCTATGGAGTGGTATGGAAGCAGCGCGGTGGCGTGTACACAAAGGCGGAAAGTGCGACGCGACGAGAGGCAGGAAAAAGGGAAACGACTGGACGCGGCAGGGGAAAACATCTTTGTCGGGCTTGCCAGTCGGCAGACAGCTTTTAATATATTTGACAAAGTTCGAGCTTTCGAGAACGCGGACGCGACCAAGCAGCCTCGTAAATCCTTGCCTCTTAGCGGTATGCGCGAGTACGCCTACGGGCTGCCTCACCTTCGCGCCACGGATAAGTCTTCGTTTTCCAAACTTTCCCTCGCGATCGCGTCGGATACATTTTTACGAGCTCGCTCGAGACGGTCCATTATTCGTGTTCTTTCGCAGCCGAGCTAAGGGCTGCGTCGCACCCCGCCCGCGAGTGCTAACTTTCCGGGTAAGAAAAATTACCGAGTACCGGGGATCTCTTTCTTTCTTTCCCTCTTTCTTACTCCCTTTCGCCTCTTTTCCTTCCCTTCTCTCCCTCTCCCTCTCTCTCCCTCTCTCTTTATTCTCCAGCGGAGAAGAGCGATTCGAGTTTCCTGGATTACCGTCGATGACGTGATAATGTCAAACCCCGGCGGACACCATTATTTCAATGTTTGCTCCTGGAGTGGGAAGAAGTCTGGATCTGGTGGAAGACCTCGATAATGGGAGTCCTATTACTGTTCGAGGCCAGAGTCGGAGCTACGTTGCCGCTTCGAATCGGCTGAAACGGGTCTGAACCTTCTAAAGTAGGCTCTGACGTTATTACTGGATCTCTGGTTTTGACATTTGTACAGCGACTCCCGAGTACCCTATAGTTGCAGATCTTTCGCCGGTTATTCTCCCACCGTTCGTACCTTTGTACCGCAGTTTATTCGCCAGTCGGTGGATCGTAAATTTGGCAAAGTTGCGGGAACGAGTGCGTAAGAAGCGCGAATGGAAGACGGGAAAACCGGTTTTTTCGACGTTTCCACGCCGCGATTACTGCATTGCGGTTTAATAACGAATATCGGGCACGCGCTCGCAAACTTACCTGACTCGGAAGAACACGGTTTTGGTTTTGCCTACTGCGACTACTTCGTAGTGTGCCGCGGCGTGTACACGTTCGCGGAAAACGTTCGAGTTTCGTTGTTTGCGCGCGGAACGATATGCCCGGTAGCGTTAATTCGCTTTATTAAAAACGCAATTAAAATATGCAAGCCGGCGCGCGTGTTTATTCGCCGCTCTGCTAAAAACGCTGCTCCGAAATTAATAAGTTCTTTGGAACAAGCGTCTTTAAATCCGCGGTTATTCCACTCGAAATTGTTCGATGAAAAAAAATGTTTAATTCATCGCGAGGTTAAAGCCGATAAGCTTGATTCGCGTTACGAAGACAAAACCGAAAGTTCAATAATTCCTGACTTTTCGTGTCGGAGGTTTACCTTTGAACTCCCGCCGTGGTGCAGGTCTCCGGCGCCAGATGGCACTACCTCCCACGAGTGCAAGTCCACCATTCCGTCGCAAGATAACGCCGCGTTGCAGTTCCGAGTTGCGTCGGTAAGGTAGGAACGACGACTGCTTGGACAAAATGGAGAATTCCAATAAAATGGCGATTCCAAGTGGCTTGCTCGGTATTTACGGCAACGCGTAACGAAATTACCTTTTCCTTCGAAATCCCAGAAGGAAAGATCCGCGAACGCGTCACGTCTTCTTCGAAATTTATCGCGTTCAATTTTCTATCTACGTCGTACAGTTCGTTTAGCTTAAAAATTTCGAACTTTGCCACCTGTTCGTTGCCGAAAATAAACGCTACGCGATGGGAACGGAAAATATTTCGCACCCTCTGAAACGAAACCTGAAATTCAACCCGGAAACAAACCGCCCCGCGGGATTTGCGATTAATTCTTAGCGAAATCATCGATGAACGCGAGTTGGCTGTAATTAATTATGATAATATTATTAATTTCGGGTTTTCGTGGTCGCGTTAATATCGTCCCTGCCGGCATTGGAACGGTCGTGGCGGACGGCGAATTTCTGCGGGCTGCAAACCAACGAACCACCGCAATATCGTTTATCGATTAAGCCACGCACGATACGACTAGGCACAGCGAAAAACCGCTTCGATCCGCGCGCGTTCTTGCCTCCTTCGCGTTTACTCCTCTCCAGAAGGAAACTAATATACGCGTAGAAGGGTGAATTTATGCCTGTCGCACGCGTCGCGCAGCTTACTCGATATTTTCATAAGGGTGCACAGGCTTGTGCCGGTTTAATAAAAATTACGGCAGTCGCGTTCGCGCCGAATTGATTTAGAAGAATTTATGTACAGGCCGGCAGAGAGCGAGCGACCGGCGACTGTCTCGTTTCGCATTCGGCCCGTGCCAGCCCAACGCGCCTATACTCGCGTCATCAATTTCACCGTTGCGCCTCGGTGTTCCGTCGCCTTGTCGGGGATCAGCGCCCTGCCTGCGGATGCAATTCGCTCCGGGGTGCAATCAATGCGATGGCGTTGCAAATTCCGTGGCTGACGGAGTCGAAGGCGGATAGCGGACAGGGCTGCTCGACCAAGACTGCCACCAGCTCCGCTCTACACCAGGACAAGTTAGATTTGTTCTCCTACGGAAGACAAAAGATCACCTTTATCTTATTCCACGATTGTTTTTCCTCTCTCTCCTCCTCGCTGCTATTGTACCTCTTCCTACCTCACCCCCTCTTCGATCCCTTCCATTATCCACCTTTGTTCCGACCTTCTTCGGTCCCCTCTCTCTCCCTTTTCTCCTATTTCTTCGCGCATCGAACCTCGGTGTCTGTTTCGAACGACGATTCTATTTACGAAATCGCATTCTCTCTTTCTCTCCGTGTTCTCTCCCTCTTCTCTCTCTTCTCCAGCCCCGCTCTCGCTGTCCGTCTACGACTTCCGTTCGCCCCGTCACCCCCGCTGCGCTCCCTCTGCTCTTTTTCGCCCGTTCCTTTTGCGTTGTCTCGTTTAATGCACTCCTATAGGAAATTACAAGTGAAAACGTTTCGTTAGCAGCGTCTATTTTCCAGCGTCGCTTTTTTAACCCCGTTGTCTCGCCCCGTTTTTCCTGTTCGCAGCGCGTAAATCGTTAGCGAGCTCGTTAACTTCGCGCGATATTTATCGAGGCAGTCTGACCCGCGATAATGGAATCCCATTGTCTACTTACGAGCGCATTACCCCCGTCCACCGATTGCCTCTCGTTGACACCGTTTCTTTCGGCCGATCAATCCGCTGCGCAGGCTCCGACATACACCTTAATTCCTTCGTCGTGCCGATCCTTCTTTCACCACGGGCCCTTTCCTCCGTGCTCGGAACACGGCTTTCCCTTCCGAACCAGTCACCCTGTCAGCCATTTCCCTCCGTCTCGGATCCATCCGATACGTGATCCTGGCCAACGACGAGCAAGCATCCTCGTAAAATGATCAATTCCTCGATTCGTCTCCTGAAAATAAAAAGAAATAAAAATTAGAAAGGGAA